TGTGACCCACGTGCAGGACCCACTGGGCTCAGCACATGAACCCAGCCTGGCCAGACCCCTCTGTAGAGCCTCCTACCAGATCCACACTCCTGCCCAAGCTGGTGTCATCTGCAAAGGGACCATCTGTGAGCAGTGAAGCTGGATGAACTTCCCCCCTTTCAGCCCAGGGACACTGCTACCAGCCCTCTCGTTGCCAGAGTTCATCTACTGAAGAGCAAAGATGATGTCTTACATGGCAGGATGTTGGGATATCTGTTTTTCTCTCTGTTTTCTTCTTTATTTGCCATTTCAAACGTTCCTTGCACGTATCCAGGGGTTAATGACTAGAAAAGAGATGGAGAAGTGAAGGTGTTAGGGAGCTGCCAGCTCTTGAGGGCACGTGGCTGGGGGAAGATCTCCCTCCACACACGTTGCCCCCAACAGAATTCAACCCATTTTTATCTTCCCCCCCCACAATAACTTCCCTCACTCTCTAAGAGGAAACAACCACCTGGCAAAGTTCACTGCACAAAGGAGTTTGGCAGTTTTGGGACAAGAAGTCATTCTGCCCCCAGAGGTGGCAGCTCTTTAGAGGGTTGGGACACTCAGAGCTGCTGGTTTAAGGTGCCACCAGGAGCTGGGTGAGCCCCAACACTGGGCCCCAGCTGCTCCCTGCTCCTGGGTCACTGCTCTGAAGGGTGAACACCAAAGGCCTTGCTGAGAGCTGAAGGGGAGGAGGACAAAGGTGACTCTGGACTCAGCACTGAGAGCTGCTGCCCAAGCAGAAGAGAAATGCTTCAAGGCACTGGCAAGACCTCAGGCTGCAGATCAGTTGAGTTGAGCTTAAAAAGGAACCCAAGCCTTGCAGAGCAATCAGATGAGAGGAAGAAATGTAGAGGAAGAGGGTGAGGATGAAGACAAGGAGGTGCCCGAGGTGCAGCCCTTCCACTGCCGTGGCAGAAGCTGCTGAGATGCCACCACCAGGGCTGAGTGGCCAAGCTGAAGCTGCAGCAGAGAGCTTGGGGTAGGGGGAGAGCTGGACAAAGCTCTGGCCATCCAGAGACAGCACGAGGCTCCTGCTCAGCACCTTCAGCTGCCTCCTCACTCCATAGGACAAAGAACCACCGAGTTTCATCAAGTTTCTTCCACTGATCTCCTAAAAAAATCAGTGTCAGCATGTTGGATCCAACAGAGGTAAAATCCCAGAGGTTTGGGAACACCCACCCACCATCTCCCACCCCCCAACTCTGAATCATGGAGGGGAAGGAGAGAAAAAAACTGGTCAGTGACTGCCCAGCTTAGGGGAAAGATCTGGGGCTGCCCCCTCTGAGCAGCAATGGGGCTGTCAGGGGGACAGAGGATCCCAGGGGGATCCATCTTCTCCACCACCACAGAGGAAACAGCAACGTGGGTTGGCTTGGGGTTTGTCATGCCACTTAGATTTGGGAGTGTGAGTAAAAGGAAGGAGAGAGAGGAGGCTGAAAAAGAAACCAGCTTTCAGCCAACTGCTTAATTCCTTCTTTGAGTGAAGCCTGTGGTTTTGCTCATTAAAACACACTGACCAGCCATAAAACACATGGACCAGCCATAAAACACATGGACCAGCTCTAAACCACAAACTTCATTTGTGTTTTGCATGAAAGACTGACCAGCCATAAAACACATGGACCAACTCTAAACCACAAACTTCATTTGTGTTCTGCATGAAAAGAAATAATTAGCCCTTCAAACATGATTACTTCCAAAGTCAGGCAACAAATGCTCAATAAAGAGTCACAGAAGTTCTGCATCTTGGTGTGTAAAACACACACAAAGTCCTGATCTCTGGCCCAAATTCTCTCTCCATTCTCTGCTCCTTACTCCTGTGAGGCCCTGACCTCCCTCTAGAGTGATAGAATTGGTCAAGAGATTGGGTTGGAAGGGACCTTAAAGATCATCCAGTTCCACCCCCCTGCCATGGGCAGGGACACCTCCCACTAGAGCAGGTTGCTCAGAGCTCCATCCAACCTGGTCTTGAACACCTCCAGTGTTGAGATACCTCCAATCTCCTCATGAACTCCCCCCAGTGAACTCTCCCAGTGCCCCAGCATGGAGCCTTGAGCAGATGTTGAACCTTGGTGCCAGGGCAGATCCTGTTTTGCTGCTCCCACCCCTCTTCAGGAGGGAGGATGTGATTCATGGAGGCTGCACTTCACCACCTCCTCCCCAGCACCCCATGAATCACGAGCAGCCCATGAGTCTTGGTGCTGCTGGCTCATCTGCTGCCACCACAACCTGATCCACTCCCACTTCAGAGGGGTCCTAAAATGCCTCCAGCACTTCTGAGGGACTCATCTCCCCCAGCATCACTGGACTTTCTCCTTGTTCTTCACTGCATGAACCACAGGGATGTCTTCAACCAGCCCAAATTAAGACTTCAAAATCCAATCCTGAGAGGAATATTTTTTCAGACATGAATCTACCACTCAAGGCAACACAGCAGCCATCACAAACTCCACACATGCAGCTCACCTTGTGGTGTGGGTGATGAATACAGCCAAGAGTCCACAGAGAAGGGAACATGGGGGGTTATTCTTTTTTTTTTAGAAAGAACACACTTCCTAATTCTCTCTGCTCACAAAGGAATCAAAACAAAAGCAGCAACTGAGGGCAGGAGGAGCCTCTGCTGCTTTGCTTCATGTACAACTGCAACAAGTGCAAGGTGCTTCCTAGTAATTTAGGCTTTAAGTCATCAAAAGTAATTAAGAACTCTGTCAGGCACATAAATCTAAGAGAGCTGTCCTCAAAAATCCTTGCTAGCCACACACATCTTCATCCATCAGTGCTTGCTCTGTTGTTCTCTTCACCAGAAGAATCACTTGGGAGCCAACTTCTTTGGCTGGTGCACGTGCCTGGCCACTGCTGCCTCACTGGGCTCACCCTTTTCAGCCTAAATCTTTCCAATTCCCACCAAAGATCTTGGATCTGGAGACACCTGAGCCCCAAACATGTTAGATCAGGTGGTGTGAAGCCAACACAGAGATGCCCCCGAGCAGCCCCAGCCCCAGGGCTGCAGTTGGGGTCCCCCACGGCTCAGCAGGTGCCACCCAACAGCTTGTGCCAAGGGGACAGCTTCAGATCCACCCCCCAGCTGCAGGGCTGGGCAGCTGCAGCTTCAAAGGGCAGGTGGAGGTGGAACCTCAGCTGGTGGATGCTCTGAAGGGGAGGGCATCACACAGAACCTGTGCTGGAGGCTCTTGATTTCTCAGCCCCCTTCCTTCCAGCTCTCCAGTGACAGATTTCTGTTTGTCCCCTTCCCTGGCTTGGGAATATCAATCAGTCTGATTTTCAACTGGCTTTCACCCTTCCTTCCCCTCTCAGGCTCCAGCACACAGCTCAGAAATCATCACCAGCAGCTCCAGGAGATGCAGTGGGGGGGAAAAACCCAACCCATTAAAAGCACTGTCTCTGCTCAGGCTGCAGAGCTGGGGGGCCCAGACCCCAGTTTTCACACTCAGCACTTGTCTCACGGTGCAGAACATCATCCAAGCAAAGCCAGGCAGAAGAATACAACTAGATGGCTCCTTTTGCTCCAACCCACAGAGCAGATGAGTCAAAATTCACAAGAGTAGATCCTACCAAATGAGCTCTCACTTTCCTTTGGTTGCCCTGGCTAAATATCTCCACAGTGCCCCCTCTCCCTGATAAGGCAAAGAAATGATGTGTCCCCAGCAGATCACCCACGGGTGGATGTCAACATGCTCCCAAGCAAGAAGGGGACTCAACAGGCTGCCTTTTGTCAAGCAAACCCCTTAAAGCTGAGATGCTCCATGTGCCAGGGTGCTGCCAACAGGGAAGAGATGGGATGAGAATGAGGAATAAAAGGTTAAAAGACCCAAAATAAAGTCAGACCTCCCTAGGATAATAGTAAAGGCCACGCTGTGTCTTCTCTGAGTACTTCCCACATAGGTGAGACTCAAGACTCCTAAAATTCCTCCACCACCACCTTCATTCTTCTTCACTGAAGATCAATGCTAAAGAGATTCATAGTCAATTTTCCTCTCTTCCAGCTGTCAGGGAGAGAGCTTCTAACACTCTTCTCACACCAACAAGGGTCAAACAGCTCCTGTGTCACCCCTTTGCCACCCCTGTGCTAGACTGCAGTCGACTTCTCAGCTTCCCCCCAGAGAAAGGGCCCCCACCCAGGGCAGCACACGTACCAGAGCTCTGAGCCACCAGCACCCAACCCTTCTGAAGGAGATGTTCACACTGGGGGGTGGTTTGCTCTCCCCCCCACGTGTGAGGACTTACATTGAACTCCTCCCTGAAGAGCTTCCCCTCGTCTGCCGAGCGCATCCGTAGCTCCTCCTCCAGGTTCTCCACTGGGATAGGGAAATACTTCTTTGGGCCTGAGGGAGACCTGCTGAGGAGCATGACCCGTTGCTGTTCTGTCCATAGAAGGGAAGGGTGTGTTAAAGGCACGTCCAGAGCAACACATCACGAGCTGTTCCCAACTGGAAATTAATTTTTAGGCCTGAAGATGCCAAAGCATCCTCCTCGCACGAGGCCTCCACGGGTGACAAAGCTGATTGCAGAGAAATAAAAACCCAAAGCCACAGATCAAGTCACTGCTTGGAGAGCATCAGAAATCCCAGCAGAAGCACTACTGGTAAAATGAATGGTTTCTGTGTTTAAATAGGATTAAAATGTGACCAAGTTTTATGTAGGAAAGGAGAAGGTTCCTCTCTGCTGATGAAGAGCTCACCAGCCCTGACCTGCTCTGCCACAGGGACAGCCCTCAACATCTACCACTGAAGGGAGAGGTGACATGATTCCACTTGGAAAAAACCTCCCACCTCCCCAAATTTTAACTAAACTCAGGAAGTTCCATCTTAACAGGAAGAAAAGCCTCCCTGTGAGGGTAGCAGAGCCTGGAGCAGCTGCCCAGAGAGGCTGTGGAGTCTCCTGCTCTGGAGAGATCCCAAACCCTCCTGGCTGTGACCCTGGGCACCCTGCTGGAGCAGGGGGGTTGGAGGAGATGACCCCCAGAGGTCCCTTCCCACCCCACCAGTAGTCTGTGGCTCTGTGTTTGCTGGGGTGCTTCCTGCCACCTAGACCCAGGAGGAAATAAAGCCCCAGGAGACCTTCACTTGCCCCCTTCATAGCCCCTCAGGAGCTCAACTGGGCTCCTGGAAAGTGAATGAGCATCCCCAGGGGGCAACTGGGAGAAGTGGAGGGATTAAGTTCCCCACTTTGGTGAAGAGAAGTTTTATTTAGAAGGAAAGGCAAAGAGAGAAGCAAACCATCCCCTGCATGCCAAGAACGACCAGGGGACTTCACAGAACAGAGTCCTCCTGCTCAGGTGGCACCTCCTGGGTTCCAGTTGGTGCCCGTTGCCCCTTGTCCTGTCCCTGGGCACCACTGACCAGAGTCTGGCCCCAGCCTCTTGCCCCCCACCCTTTAGATCTTGATGAACATTGATCAGATCCCCTCTGAGTCTTCTCCTCTCCACGCTGAGCAGCCCCAGGGCTCTCAGCCTGTGCTGGCACAGAGATGCTCCAGCCCCTCTGAGCCTTTCCCCTCGCCCACCCCAGCTCACTGGTGGCTGCAGGAGCCACGGGCACGACCCAGCACCAGGATCCCCAGCCATGCTCACCAGGTTCCTGCCCTGGAAGCCAGGGGCTGTGCTGAGAGGTTTGTGAACCCCACGGCACCGAGCTGGAACCACCCATCCTTTCATTACCTTATTTTTTTGTCCTTTTTCTTATGCTTAAATCATTTCTAAGCAAGAAATGAACAGCTCCTTCCCATCTGCTGGGTCTGAGGTGAGCCTCACAGAGCCACCCACCCAATGGGACCCCTGGTGATGGGCAGGAAGATGGAAACAGCCAGTGGAAAATGTTTTCAGCTCCTGAGTGTTGTTGTTTAGTGCTGCTGGCTTAAAACACCACCCCCATCTCAGCCCCTGGCTTGTCTCTCTTCACAGCCAGGAGCCAGCCAGCAATTTCAGAGTTAAGGACTTTCCTTTTCCCCTTTTTAAGAAGAAATACAACTATTTTTTCTCTAAATACAACGATGCCAGTGCCAGAGACCTGGTTCTCAGCTGGTACTCCAAATAAACCATGCAAAAAGAGCATGAGAAACATTGACAAAGAAACTGTTTGCTGTGTGGCAACTGAAAGTGAAAATTATTTCAAATCAGGGACTGAAAGTTAGGATTATATATACACAGAGTTAAATATGGACCCCTCTGTATTTTTAAACTATTTTCTCTTTAATCACAACCCTGTAACTTCGAGTATGAATCAAAAGCAAGCAGAGCTGAGTAACAAAATTCTGAATTAGTGACCAGAAAGAGTTTCTGACACAGAAACAAAACCAAGGAAAAAGGAAAGCAAAATCTCTCCATACCTTGTTCTTCTAAGATCCCATTTGGCATCTTCTTGTCCCCAGAGTTCACAACAGCTTTCCTGTGCCTCCTGAACCTGAAACGCACACACACACGATGTTAAACCCCAGCAGCTCTGCTGAAAGGCAACAAGAGTTTCCCCCAGAGCAACCTCTACCCACCATGTCATTCTGGAGAAACTCTTTCTGTTCATCCTGCAGGGAGAGGCACCAGCAGCAGCAGCAGCCCAGCACCCTGCCCTGCACAGCCACAGAAGCTCCTGCCCCACCACGTGCACACATCTCATTTCCTGCCCAGATCATATCGAAAGAGGGCTGAGCTGGCTCTGCACCCACAGCCCCACACACACCTACCTGAAAAAATACCCCGCCAGCAGAATGAAAATGATGAAGACCAGGAGCAGAATCAGCAGGGATGTCAGCAGGTCCTTGTGCAAACTGCTCTCCTCCGTGGAGTCTGGGGGTTGAACACAGCGGGAGAGGTTAGGGGGCAGAAACTGGGCTCAGTGGGGCCAAAATCTGGGCTCCTCTGCCACAACCTGCTCAGGATTTACTGCAGGCATCACAAATGATTTCATCCGTGCAAAGCTGAAATGAAAAGTTCTTTTTTTTTAGGGTTATTTTGCCCCCTTCAAACCCACACCAAACCACTCGCTGCTGAGAAGAGCAAGGGTGTTTTTTTAGCATCTACTATATGAGAGATACTTTGATTAGATATATAATACATATCTAATCAAATATAATACATATAATAGAGTTATATATATTAT